TTCACTTTTCAATTTTTTTTTTAAAGTTTGTCTCTAAGAATGAACCTTTTTTTTTACTTATTCCTAATAATAGACATTTTCGTGCATGTCTTTATAAATGCAATTAAAGTGTAAATTTACAGTATTTGTAAAAATAGGGATTACATTTTATGTCTTGTCATATCTCACAACACAGTTAATCTTTTGGTTTCCAAAAATTGAAAACCAAAACCATTTTGAATTGAAGTCATTTTTGAATCAGCAGTAGTAAAACAAACAAAAAAAATACTTTTTTTAATTTTATTTTGTCCCCGAAAATATACATTTTTCTGCATGAATTTTTAATGAAATTTAAGACTTAAATTACAATATTTTAAAAATATAAGTTACATGCTATGCACAGTGGGTGAAAGTGTGTCAAAAAAAAAAAAATTGTGTTTAATGTAGATTTAATGGTAATAGTTATTTTCCATACTTATAAAGCTTTAATAAAATAATATTTGTTAGTCATTAGCTTTTAAATTAAAGTTTAAACAACGATAATATTTGTTAGTCATTAGCTTTTAAATTAAAGTTTAAACAACGATAATATTTGCTAGTCATTAGCTTTTAAATTAAAGTTTAAACAACGATAATATTTGCTAGTCATTAGCTTTTAAATTAAAGTTTAAACAACGATAATATTTGCTAGTCATTAGCTTTTAAATTAAAGTTTAAACAACAATAATATTTGCTAGTCATTAAAAGTTTAGCTTTTAAATTAAAGTTTATACAAATAAAGCTTATAAGTTTATGTTAAATAGGAAATTTTTTTTCCAATTTGTAAATTTTAAAACAAAAATTTATTAAAAATATAAGTTGCTACACATGAATTATAAATTGATTTATGAGTTAAAACATATGCGCTATTATTTTTTATATATTGATAGATTTATCTTTTTTTAAACAACAGAACTTTGCTGCAAGTTTTTTGCTTATAAGTAAGAAATTTTATTTAACTTTAAAGTTGATGTATTTTTGTACGTTTTTTGAGTGCAAATTTTTACTTTCTTTAGTTAATTAAAAACACCTCCAAAATTCTCCAGTCTGAAAATACTTTAAAATCTTTATTAAGTATATATATGATTTTTTTAAATTGGTTTGAGCCTCAACAAAGTACCGCCTTGTCTAAAAAATAACTTTCAGAAAAAAGCAGGGGTAGCGCCAGCATTTTTTGGTCTTCGAGATATCTAACTTTTAGACATGGAGCAAACTCCAAACATTTATATTTTTATACTTATGTCAAATAAGGATGCTTGGCAAAAAATTGTGATTGGTGCCTTAAAAAAAAAAACATAAAAATTTTAGCCCCCCCTCCCTCCTGCCCTAAATGTGAGAGCAACAAACTGTTGAAATATTTTTTGAACTATTTTTAACTAGGCTTGTATTCCTAGATAAATTTTAATTCTCATAGTAAATATTTTAGCGTTCAAAAAAATTGACCATATAAACCCCCTCATTTTGAGGGGGTTGCAAATTTTATAAGGACATTATTTTTGAACGCTGGAAAATTATACTAAGAATTTAAAAATATCAAGTTTCATAGTATAATTTCATCTTTTTTGAATGCTAAAATATTTTACTATAAAATTTAAAAATTTATCGAGGAATATAAGTCTAATTGAAAATAGTTCAAAAAATATTTGATAATAATATATTTTTGATTGAAAGAAAAAAAAATTTAATTGTATTCTAAGTTAAAATACAATAAAAATTTTTTTTCTTTTAATCAAAAATGTATTTAGAAGCTCCAGATATGTTATTTAAAGCTAATTTAGTAATATTTAATCAAAAAATAATTTTGACACAAAAACGGGCAATCTGACCCACTGTGCTATGTTTTGTGCTAAGTCTATGTCACAGAGCGCAGTAAATCTATTGGTTTACAAGAATTCAAGTCATTTTTAAATCAGCGCTATAGTAATTTTTTTAAACTAAACTTGTTTTTTACTCTCTCCGAAAATACATATTTTTTTGCATGTCTATGTAATGAAATAAAGTATAAAATCTTAAAAGTAATAACATTTTTAATGGAAAGTTCCTGTACCTAGGCCACCTTACTTTTATTTGAAAAATAAAACGTTCTAAGTTGTGCTTTCCAGTCAAATGATTAGTTATAAGAATTTTTATTTTTTATTTCTACATTGATTCTAAGAGAGCATTGCGATAGCAAGTTATAGTTGCACGCTTTTTTGATTGTGTAAGGTAAATTTTTGCCGCTGGTATATTTAATTGTAGACTTTTTATTCAATTTTGCTCAGAACTTTTAGTCAAATTCGTTATTTATTTAAGTGTTGCAATCAAGTAACACTAGATAAATTTGTTGAAAAAAATCTAAGATTAAATAACTTTTTAATCAAATTTCTGTGTTTATCTTTTTTTATGGAGCAATTTTAGGTACAGTCAAAAAAAATTTATTGTACCTAGAGCCACAAATTTTTAGATGCTTTTACATGATGGATTTCTATAACTACACTCTTTATACTTATATTAATTCAAAATAATTAATATAGAAATGTGATCACATCAGTTTCACTATTTTTAGACAAGCCTTAAGTTTGGACATTGAATAAATCTGTTTAAAAATTCTTGTGCAAAGTTTTTAAAACCATCGTCCAAATTTAAAAGATAGATTTAAGTTTGTTTAAACTTTTTTTTTTAAACATATTGCTAATTTAATTTACTATAAATGGTCTCCTTGTTATAACTTGTTTTTTCAAAGAGCATAATCAAGGAAACTGTATTAACTAAATTAGGCAAACTTTATTATGTCTTGAAATTAACCAGATCTTGATGCCAAAACAAGTAAAAACAGGCGCTCTACTGAGCTTTAACTGGAAATTGTCTATAACTGGAGTTGCTATTATAAAGAACTTTTTTTAATTGCCAGGAAGTTTCTAAAAATGTTAAGAAGTTACTCTTAAAACTTAAAGTTTTGTTTCCATGGAGTCATTAGAAATCACGCCACTGTAATTTTAATTGTGATTTTAACGTCTATTTTAAATTTTGTAATATATGGCTGATGATTGCCGTTAGGCATGAAACTTAAAGTTCCATAATAAAAGTTTTTTCTTTTTTCGTTTTTAATTATTTATATATATATATATATATATATATATATATATATATATATATATATATATATATATATATATATATATATATATATATATATATATATATATATATATATATATATATATATATATATATATATATATATATATATATATATATATATATATATATATATATATATATATATATATATATATATAAACATATTGTCTACTTTTTAAAATTATGAAAAAAATTTGAAACGATTTTGTAGCCATTGCACCAACCACTATTTATCAGCGGTTTGTATATTAGTACCCTTCTAGGTAATATTTAGAATACAATATTACAATTGTGTTGTCTAAATACAATTGGTATAAAAAGTTTAAACATGCGGAAATAAACTTAAAAATATATGGAATAATGGACATACCATGACCCATATGAGACAGTTAATGGTAAGTCTATTCCACACTGACCATTTCTATACTTACTCTTTAAACAATATTGTTTGATACTTTGTATTGTAAAATTATACACTTCTATAAAAAAATAGGGACAGGCTTATTCAGCTCATAATAAGCTCATCAGCTTATTATGTCCCTCACCTCGTTAATTAATTTTAAAGAAAATAAAAATTTTGTAAAGAAAAAAAAAGTTTATATTTGACATAATATGTGGCCACTTTAGCTACTAAGACATATTATGCATTGCATTATTTATTGCAATAATTTTTTTTATATGAAAAAAAAAACTCAAATACATGTCAAAACACTGAAAACTTAATCTTTATTAAGCTAATTATTTTATCGAAATATTTAGTAACAGAAAACAAAATTATTTATAGTCAATGAAAAACATTTTTTTTAGAGGAAATTATTAAATAAACTATAAAAAAAAAAACTATAAAAAAAATATATATAATAAAAACTTTTATCTATCATCTTGCGAACACAAGAATACTAATACAACTTTTGATTGATATAAAAAAAAATTACTTAAATTTCTATTTAATAATATAAAGTCATTAATTACAATTTCATTATATCTTAATTTTATGTTATGATATTTTATTTTTATTTTATTGAAATAATTGATTTTTTTGCTTGAAAAACGCTAATAATTTAGGCTTGAAGAAAAGATCATAATAATATAATTTATTTCTGATAAAAAATAGTTCTGATTAAAATAATTATTTAAGTTTATTAAAATTAAAGTTAATGCTTAGGTTTAACTTAACTGTCAAATTTATTTAAAAATATTACTTAAATATTGTTCAATATTTAAATTTTATTTATTTAAAAAAAAAATTAGTTTATTTTAATTGCAATTATTTTTTCAGTTTCCTTTCCTAAACATTTTTTTTTTAATTCAAAATTAAATTTTAAATAAACATGTTCTGAGGCAGCATTAATAATTAACACAAAACGTAAATTAAACTTTTTTTATGACGCAAGTTAAAGCACAGCGATTATATTTCAATAAATAATATATACAGCAATATAGTTTTAATAAATAGTGCTTGGAAAAATAATCCTTCTTTGATAACAAAATCGCTAATAAAATAAACTTTTAATAAATAAAGTAAATAATTAGTGAGTATTAAAAAATTTTTTTACTCATTAATTTTTTTTAAATAAAAATAATAATTTTTAATTGCAAAGCCGCAATTAGAAATTTAAGAAAAAATCATTTGAAAAAATTTAACATATTTAATTCTTTTATACATATGTCGAGAAATTTGTTTATATCAAACATTTTTAAAAATATATTATTAAACTTAATTATTTAATATAAAAAATAAACATTCTTTAGAATGAAAATGAACATTCCCTAATAGTAATAATAAAAATGTTCAACTTGTTTTGCGGTAAATAATTTGTTTTTATTTAAAACAAAGCTGTGTATATAAACATTTTACTTACTTGTAAATCAATCATAAGCTCAATAAATCTCTCGCAATAACTCACAGCATCTTCATCAACTTCACCTATTTGTTCATCAAAAGTTCATCAAAATATAATAATAATGAAGTAATAACTATTATATGTTAGAGTTTTAAATATAAAATATCATAAAAAATAAGGTACAATTCTAAAACTGCCTATACTTATATTTTATCTCAGATCTTAAAGACTTTTGGGCTATAAACTCTTTAACCAGTGTTAAATTAAATAGTGTTTTAAAATAAAACTTAAAAAACTCAAACATGAAGCAAAAATGATAATTTTGTTTGAAATAAATTACTTTAAATCTTTGAAATGTTTTATTAAAGTTACACAAAACACTTGTTACACAAAACACTTGTTACACAAAACAATTGTTACAAATCATTAGAAGTAACAAATTACTTCTAATGATTGTTAATAAATGAACAATTTTATTTAAATTGTTAAAAAAAAAAATTATTTTTTCCAAAACATTGCAAAAAAAAAAAAATTTGTTACAAAAATAAAATAATTTTTTGAAAAGATTTAAAATTTAATACATAATGTAATAAAGGTAATAAAGCTTATAAAGGTAAAAAAAATTATTTTAAAAAAAGTAAACATCCTTTTTTTAATGCCCTTCGGTATTTCAGCTACTTATATGTCAACTTAGGTACCCTAGCAGTTTTATCCTGGTGTTCCAAAGTTATAGGCATTAATAATAATAGTTTCTAGTTTTACGAGGGTAGGTCTTGTTGGGTGATGACAAAAATCAAAACTTATAATTAAGCAAAAATATTTATTCTGCTACCAGTCCTCTTCCAATGCATTTTGAACAAACTGGGAAAATTTCGAAGAAAAAAATAAATAAATAAAAAAGATATCATTTTTTAACTTTATTAGATATATTTACTGGTTTAAATCTAATTTGGAGATAATCAAAAAACAATGAAAAAATTACAAATAAAATGTTCAACATTCATAAATAAGAACTGGTTTTACTTCTGCTTATTTATCCAAGAACTACTTTTTAATTCCTCTTAGCTTCTGGCTTTACTTTGCTTTTGTTGGTAGATACATACTTTGCTTTTGATATATGCAACACACCATTTAGCTTAGTAGGTTTATTCATAAACTGTCTGTTATTTACGCCTTAAGTTTTTGAAACATTAATTACTCCTTGAAAGCCATTATTGAATGATTAATAGTAGAATTCAATGATAATTTTAGATACCTTTTACCAATATATATATATATATATATATATATATATATATATATATATATATATATATATATATATATATATATATATATATATATATATATATATATATATATATCCTTACAACATCTTTTCCAAATAACAATGTTCTGTATTTTACTGCAAAGACACTTTTGAAGTAAATCTTGATTAGATAAATTTCTTAAAACTGGTTTTAAAATTTTGTGAATTGCTAATTAAAGGCCTAATTTTGTTTTGTATTTAAATAAGTTTGTTAGTTTATCAGACTGACACAAACAGTATATGCAAAAATACACAAAGATTTATGACATTTTCCGAATTCTCTAAAAGCCACAATAGCATTTCACTCTACAGCAGCAACAGGTTTTCAGGAGAAGTTAAAATTGGTTTAAGGCTTAAAAGAGTTATATCAAAGTTTGCAAAGAACTTACACATCAAATGATAACTGTAACTCATATGTGAACCCATTTGATTTTGTAAATTGTCTTTTAGTAATAACTTTACACCATTTAATGAACAACATATACTAAATTTAAATATTGTCTTTAAAACTTTAAAGTTTATAAATATATTGTAATTATCCTCTGTAATTTATCCTTCAAGTTTTTTTTCTACATTATAAAACTCAGTATTATATATATATCTTGCAATTTTTTTTGACTTGCACTTTCTTTTTAGTTGAAAACAGAGGTTTGATTAAAATTGTCTATACTTTAATTGGTAACATGTTGGTTTCCTTTAAATACTTTTGTTTTAAACAGATTTAGTAAATCTTGAAATTTTTCATAACTGTTTAACTTTTATATCAATTTATAATTGCATAACTTGTAAATATAACTTGAAAAGTTTACACTGCTGTTGTTACTATACACAGCATTCTACAGTGTTATACATATCAAACTTTCACGGCAAGGAGTTTAAAATATAGATAAAAGTTACCAAAAAGATATAAGATTTAATTGTTTATTTTTTATACCATGACTAAATGCATATTGGTTTTTGAGGTGATAATTATTAAATAATTTAATAAAAAATGATTGCTATGGGTATTGCTAGGTAAACAAAATCTACCCTAATCATTCATAAGATGAATTAGACCAAATTATGTACGAATTCAACAAATTTAAGTACTCTAATTATGTTCTATAATGATTGAAATAAAAGAAAATCACTTTTTATAAAATCTCAACAATAAAAAATTTTAATACTTTTTGAATTAGGGTTGACCACCTTAAAAGAAAGACATTGAAAAATAGTTTTAAACATTTAAATTTATCATTAAAAATAGATGCCTAAATAAATATATATATATATATATATATATATATATATATATATATATATATATATATATATATATATATATATATATATATATATATATATAACATTTTTTGTTAATTTACATAAAATGCTAGACACAAATTTTAGACAATCATTATAATTATTCATTTTTTTTAAAGCCTTCACATAAAATAAATCCTTTAAAAAAGATCAGCGATTAAAAGCTATTTATAACAATAATTTTTTAATCAAGTTTAAATTGTTAAAACATCAAAAAAGCCGTGATCAAATTTTAAAGAAAAAAATTATAAGCATGGTCAGTTACAATTACAAGGTCAGGTCTAACAATAACAATGACTGACATATTAATAAGCTTTCCTAATATTTTCTCAAACAAGTTTTTAATAGTTTATTTTTATAATGACATTTGTTGATGATAAAATTTTTTATATATATAAGAGTTTAATATAACATAAATCATAACTCGACATGGGCACATACATACACACAAAAACACCCTTTTGAATTAAATATTACTTGCAAACAAGGACCCATAAAATCCGAGTCACAGGGACCTAGGTGTGCAAAATAAATTAACTTTATTAGTGAGACTTTTCTTGTCGCAACTTTTCTGTAACAAAATCTGAACAAAAAAAACAACAATTAATTCAACCATTATATAACTTTTACAAGAGTTTTATTTCAAATCTGAGCTTAAGCATTAGTAAGTAGGTGATTAGTTCTCTGAGTTGTTCTTGATGTTCTCTGAGCAATAAGAAGCCATTGATAGTTTAACTCCTCTGCTTATATAAGAAAATACTTTCTGTTTTTTTTTTAAACATTGCAGACTTTTTTAAATACTATAACATAAATACAAAATTTAATACAAAACAGTCTAGGGGTCATCAACAAATTATGTCATACAATAGGAAGTAGGCATGTGGGGGAGGGGGAGGATGGGCAGAGGGCTATTAAGTTTTGACTTTTGAGATCTTTTCTATTGATTAAAAGAGTGCCTGGCCTAACACTAGATTGTGACTATTCCAATTTAACATAAATTAGAATTGACTATTTATTTTGACTTTTTTTTTTTTTGATTCACTCCTAACAAGGCTGCAAGCAACCAATATTAAGTTGGGAGTTCTAGAAAAAAATAATAAAGTTATAGGGCAAGAAAATGGGCGATAGAAGACTTAAAAGGTTGAAAGTTGTATGAGTCAGGAAAATATGAAGAGTTCTGAAGGGTTGAGGTGTGAGGAAAAAAACTAGACAAATATAAGCCTTTAGAACATGCAGGAACAGTAAAAATGACTCAACCCGTTTAAGAACATTGCCATTGATGCATTGATACATCAATGCTACTGATATTTAAATAATGATTTCTAATAATTGTTAATAAACATTTTTCAAAATATAAAACCAATGTTTAAGTAAGGCCACATAACGTCAGGGTTAAAGTAAGGTAAGTTATCAACACAAACAACAAGGCATGTTATCAACATAAGTTAAATGCATGGTTCTTAACAATACTGCATTATGTCAAAAAAAAAGTGAAAGATTTTTTATAACCACAAATAACTAAAAAACCAGGTAATTGGTAGCATATGTATATAATATGTACAGAATATGTAGCATACCAAGTTAAAACCTGAAAGAGGATCTTTGGTTTTGAAACAGTTAAAAAATTTCAAGTTTCATAGACTAGAAACAGTAAACTTTGCAAAGAAAAATAAAAGAAGCAATTTTCTTAAATTATAGACCTGTCTAGTACATTAACATAAAAATATTAAGATATGTACCTGTCTAGTACATTAACATAAAAATATTAAGATATGTACTAATAATTTTGTCAAAAATTGATTTTGAAAAAGTGGTAATAAGTAACACTAATGGATCCTGCTGGGTAAATTCTCCCATAAGTAAAAAATAACAATATCACTACTCTGACATGGATGTTTATAAATAGCTTTGATTAGTCATTTATTGATTAGCAGTTCAATTCACTCTCTAAAATATTAACATCATTTGCCAGAACTAAGTTTTTAACCATCTAAATGTAACCATCTTAATCTTCATTAATTAACACAATTTTATTGCATAGAAACTGATTTTTCAAGTTGAAGAGTAAAGTAGTATAAATAGTATAAGTTTATGACTTTGAGTCTTAAAATTATAACTTTGAGTTTTAAGTTTATGAATTAAAGTCTTAAATTATAACTTTGAGTTTTAAGTTTATGACTTTAAGTCTTAAGTAACAACTTTAAATTCTTAAGTATAAATTTACCTTCTGTGATGCTTTGTAAAACTTTAAAGAATACATAAATGAGATCAGATATGAACCTTCGCTCAAACTCAAGCCTATAAAAGTCCACACCATGAGTTTTTTATCGCAATAAAATTATTATTACTAGAATTCTGACACAAAATATATATTATTATGATAAAAACATAATATAAATTTTATTTACCTTTTAAGATCATCTGGGCTAGCTTTACTATCTTTCCTTTTAATTATATTCCAATATTTTTGGTATTGTGGAACAGATTTTAATTCTTGTTCCAACCTCCCCTAAAAATAACTCACATTTTGTGATTCTATGACAAGTTTTATACATTAATATAAAATTGTATACATGCATCGATAAAATTTATTTATTTTACTACATCAAATACACATCAACTAAAGTTTATTCTCTACACAATACTTAAACACAATATAAAGTTGGATTGTTACCTCAATTTTAAATTTACAAAAAAAAAAAAAAAAAAAAAAAAAAGTTTTTAAAGTGTTTAATTTTTTAATTATTAGTAAATTTATTAAAATACATTATTAGATATTTTGAAACTTATTATTTCAAAAACTTACAGGTTGTAAACAACACCACATTGGTAAACTGATAAGTTTTTGCACTTGTTCTCTGATTAAATCAACTTCCTTTAATAACAACAATATTTAAATGTATCAAAAATTATTAGAATTTAAGAATCTCAATAGACAAGTATATTTTACTCTGATTAAAGCAAGGGTATACTGATTTTGTTTTCAAAAAAAAAAAAAAAACTATTTAAAAATCTTACCAAACTATTAAAGCATCTTATTAAAAAAATAAGCACGATGATTTGTTCTTTAAGTGAATACTAAAACATAGTAAAATAAAAATTTTTTTGTATTTTGAAATGTATTTAAAACTAATATATACACCATTGGCCATAAATTAGAGCTCAATTTTTTTTTTTTTAATATCCTGTTTGATTTAAATTATTTTTGAAACTTTTAAACTTTTTCAATATTTTCTTAGTTCTAATTAATAAGTATCATGTTTACTATTTAACTGACATGTTGTTTCCATAAAATTTATTTGGTATGCCTAATTATATGTAACTTTATAGTTACATATAATTAGGCATACCAAATAAATTTTATGGAAACAACATGTCAGTTAAATAGTAAACATGATACTTATTAATTAGATTAAAATAGTATCTACTATTAGATACTATTATTAAAATAGTATCTACTATTTTAATTTGATTTCTTATTATAGATACTATTATTAAAATAGTATCTACTATTTTAATTTGATTTCTTATGACGGTCAAAAGTTAAGGTTTGCTGCTTTATTTTTAAAATTAATCTAATATATTGACTTTCTTTGATAATTTTGATTTAGTTTTCATCAGCATTTATTAACTCTAAATTTTTTAAATTTTTTATTTTGAAATAGTACTAATAAAAACACAAATAAATTAAATAATAAAAAGTTACAAAATGAGTAAAGAAATACAGCATGAACCTCCTAAATCGCAGTCAAGAATCTCAAATAAAACACGCTACAAACCTATTTTTCTTTAAAACCAAAGACTCATCTTCAAATAGCTGATAATTTAAATATCACATACTCAGTTGATGCATGTACTTTAAAACATTATACTGAAACAGGTGATATTAAGGATCAGCAATGATCTGAATAGCCAACTATAACAACAGAAAGAGATGAGCATTAATTAATTATTGGAAAATGTAAAACTTTATGTAAACCTAAAAAAAAAACATAATTCTTTACAAATACAATGTAATTTTAGGTAAAGCTACAGTTTAGCTATCGATTATTTCAGTGGTGTGGAGTCGATAAAAAAAGTAATGATTCCGACTCCAGTTGTTGAAATTTTTTGAGTGCAACTATGACTCTGATTCCGACTCGAACTCCGACTCCAAATCAAAATTTCTGAAAAACTCTTTGAATTCTTTAAAAAATATTACGCGATAAGTTAAAAAATATTTTGTGACAAATTTATGAAACGTTCTTTGAGTTATAGTATAAATAATTGGTATTGAACGTTCATGCACAAAACATTTAACTAACCTTATTAAAATAAGGTTAATTAAATGTTTTGTACATGAACATTCAATACCAAGAAGTTTTACTATTGGAGTCAGAGTCGCGATTTTGTTTAGCGACTCCGACTCCACTAAAAATGTCGCAACTCTGCAACTCCGACTCCGCAGCCCTGGATTATTTGAAGGTTGACTTAATGCTGATTGATATATTGAAACTTTAGATAACTTTTATAGCCTTCTTTCCTCAATTGATATTTTAAATAACCAAACAGCGATATCATAAAAAAAAGATGGTGCATCATGCCATGCTGCAAAAATATACAAACAATAGTTTGAAGACAACCAAATTTCAATAATATTGTGGCCTGCTAACTGCCCAGACTTAAATTGTATTGAAAATTCATGGTTAGATCATCATCTCGGAAAAATTGAAATTTTAAATGTTGAACAACTAAAAATTGAAATACCTCAAAACCTTGTAAATTCAATGCCAAAGAGAGTAAATCAATGCTTACTACAGAAAAGTGGTTCTGCAAAGAACTAAAAAATTTTTTAAATATTTTTCTATTTGGAAATTGATGTTTTATATTATTTGATATATATCCTTAATTTTTGGCCAACCTTTTTTTTTAAATTAACATAACATATTTCATTATTTTTCACTTTTTAGTATCAAAATTATTATGTTTAAGTGAGCTCTAATTTATGGAGAATGGTAAACTTTATATATATATATATATATATATATATATATATATATATATATATATATATATATATATATATATATATATATATATATATATATATATATATATATATATATATATATATATATATATATATATATATATATACACACACATACATAAACACATATATATAAACACATGCTAACCTTAACCCAGTGGATTAAGGTTAGCATGGCAATAACAAAAATTAGCACCAATGATAAACGGAAGTATAAACCGAATATGACATTATAGATTTTTTTTAAATACTTTTTTAAATAAAGTGTTACTAAAAAAAAAAAAATTTAATTGGACATATGTGAAGCTTATTCCACTATTATTATAATTATAAACGATTACCCCTTTTTCTTTTGTAGCAATTTCAAGTACTTTTCGAAAAAAAAGCTCAAATAATTCATTTTTTGCTTTGAACACCTGAAAAAGAATTTATAAACTCCTGTTATATATCACACACACACACACACACACACACACACACACACACACACACACACACACACACAAATATATATATAAATATATACATATACATATATATATATATATATATATATATATATATATATATATATATATATATATATATATATATATATATATATATATATATATATATATATATATATATATATATATATATATATATATATTAAGCAATTAACAAAACATCATAATCAAAACCATATTCAAAATCTTTAAAGACTAATTACAAAAACTTTATTTTTAATTATCTAGTAGCTTTTTGGCAATCAAACTTCTTTTTGGTTCAAACTTATTAATTGATCTTTGATCAATTTTTGTTTCTTTCAAATTTTTTAGGTTTTGTCTTTGAGAGCATTTTATATTGAATAAACATCAAATAATTTTTTATCTTGTTGGAATGCTTACTTTATTGTTTCATTGTTAGATTAAGCTATTTTATACTTAAAGTGTTGATTATTGTTTTCACTTGACATTATTTGCAAGGTTTTATATATATATCAATTCCTTGCAAATATATCTATTCTCAAACTGACTTCTTAAAGCACAATTTTTTCAGAAACAAAAAATTAGAGAGCTTGATGACTTTTTGTTGTTGCTCAAATATGAAACACTGCTGTCTAACCACACTTATAACACTGCTGTCTAACCACACTTATAACACTGCTGTCTAACCACACTTATAACACTTTGTTGCAAAAACAAAGTCCATAGCTTTTCTAATATTTCAAATGTGCTAAAAATTAATTTTAATCTTTTTTAATGTTTTTATATTAGCGAAACACTATTAAACAAAGCAAAAATGTACTTTTATTGATATAAGAAAAAATATTTTTAAATCATTTTTCAAATTAATAAAATTCCATTAGGTTTATTATATATAATTGTAATAATATTGAAATTAAATATTGAAAAAATTATAAAGTTAATTTTTAAATGCTAATTATTTATTAAATTTTTATTAAATATTAAAAAATATGTTTATTTTAACATAAATGTAAATTTTTATAACAATGTTTGTGAACAATGTTTGATTGATTTTATTAACAAGTTTGCAATTGTTAATGAAACTAATACTCAAATAAAATAAGTGAGTTAATGAAACTAATATTCAAATAAAATAAGTGAGTTAATGAAACTAATATTCAAATAAAATAAGTGAATTAATGAAACTAATATTCAAATAAAATAAGTGAGTTAATAAAACTAATATTCAAATAAAATAAATTCAATAAGTTGAAAATGTGCCCAAGGTTTTTAAAAACTTTTGAAAAAAGTATAGTTAAATAAAATAAATCATGTAATTCTATTAATTACATAACTCTTTGATAAAATGAACAACATTAGTTTTCTTACTAAACAATTGCTAAAAGTAAATTGTAACTTATTTAAAAGTGTTGTTTACTTTTATAAAAATATAATAAAATGTTGATGTTATGATTTCCGAACCTAAGCGTCATTAAAATTAATTTTATAGTACAGTTATAATTTTTGAACTTTGCTCTTTTTTAATTAATTAAAATGGTTTGTAAACATTAAGCTATTTTTTTACTATTTTGTTTTGTTTTGAAACTGTTTTTTCTCTCAAAACATCTTTAAAAAAGTCAAATTGCAACAAAAAAAATAACAAACTATGCATGGCCAAGAATAGCAGCGATCACCTGCCATTCTTGCCAAAGCCTATATATATATAGAGGTTGGCAAAAAAAATTTGACACAAAGAGGTTATCATAAAACATAGAAAACAAGGTTAGTTTTTTTTTACAGACCTTAAACACTTTTAGGTCAGCATGGTCAAATGCCAAGCTCAATTCTGAGGACCAGGGCTCAATTTAACAGATGGACATCGGACATTGTCCAGCTAAAACCTCAAATTGTCTGATCAATTTACAAAGTAATCGAACATTTTGAACCATAGAAATTAAAATTCTTTAAAATAAATACTTTATTATATTTATAAAAATTAAAAGTAAAGTAAATTAAAAAAAATTAAAAGCTTTAAAATAAAACTCAAAAAACTCGAAGTTAAAATTACTTTTTGTTACGTTTTTAATTGCGTTTGAAATAAATTACTTTAAAACTTATCTTTTGAAACATTTTTTAAAATTACACAAAGCGCTTTTACAAATTACTTCTATTGATTGTTAAATAAATAAACAAATTTTATTTAAATTATTGAAAAGAAAAAAATATAATATTTTTAAGTTGTTTAAATTTAAAAGTTGGAAACTATTTAAAAATAGTTTCAAACGTTTAAATTTATTACTATCTTAAAAATAGTTTCAAACTTTTAAATTTATTATAGAAAGTCTTTCTAAAAATTTTTTATTAAAATATTTTTTTCAAGTTACTTTAAATTATGAATAAGTTAAATTAAATCTTCCCAAGAATAAATACATGCATAAAAAACAAATAATAATAACATTTAATTTACACATGTGTTTCTTTTAAATTATAATTTTTGATTTTATTTGAAGTTTTTAAAAGTTTTGATTTTGTTTAAAGTTTTTTTAAATTTTTATTTTACGCCTTCACGTAAAATAAAAACTTTTAAAATGATCAACGATTAAAAGTTATTTGTAACGCAACGATTTTTTTTTTTTTTTTGTTGCATTTAATAGTTAAAACATTAAAACAGTTGTTGTCAAGTTGTAAAGAAAAAAAAAATGAGCATTGTCAGTTACAGCGTGAAAATTTAATTCTATCTAAAAAAACATACAATATTAAATTGGAACTAATTTATTTAAAAAAAAAAAAAAGCAAAAGCGTGGGATAAAATATTCAAAATAATTAACATTAAAATGTATATATATATATATATATATATATATATATATATATATATACATATATATATATATATATACATATATATATATATATACACACATATATATATATATATATATATATATATATATATATATATATAATATATATATATATATATATATATATATATATATATATATATATATATATATATATATATATATATATATATATATATATATATATATATGTATATGTATATATATATATATATATATATATATATATATATATATATTTTAATGTTAATTATTTTGAATATTTTATCCCACGCTTTTGCTTTTTTTTTTTTTTAAATAAAATAGTTCCAATTTAATATTGTATGTTTTTTTAGATAGAATTAAATTTTCACGATGTAACTGACAATGCAATTCCACGACGGAAAATTAAAAGGTATTAAAATTTTATTCTCTTTTCCTTCAACTTTTAGCAAATAAATATTGATGTAGACATATGAAAGTTTATTTAAAATATATCTTTAATACTAAACTTAATTCATTTAAATCATTTTTATGCCTTTGAAGTTTTTATCATTGTCACATAATAAAAAAAGTACCATTGTAAAATGTTATTTTAACTATAAATTTATTTGCATAATCGGAATTAATTTAGCGCAAAAATAGAGCTAGCGTGTACAAATTGTTGTAGGTCAGATTTTATACTTTATAAAATATATATATTTTAAGAAATTAACAAAATAACTATCGCAATTTTTATGTAACGTAAGTTAAGAAAAACATGATAAAGTTAATTTTTTCTAAAATTTAGTTAAAAAACTAAAGTTTTTTAATAATATATGCAAAAGAATATTAAATGTTACGTTTTTACAAAGTTTTGAATAACAATGCTCAGTTAAAGCTTATTTTTATATTAAATTTGTGTAACTTAAGTAACGTACCATTATGGTGACGTCATCAAATTTTACTGTTAAGAATTCTGGGATTGATATTCAGACAAATAAATCATTCGTATAAGCATATGCATAAGCATTACAATGAATATCTTATGATTTATGACTATGATATAGTTTAATTTGGCGATGGACGAAGATTTGAATGAGATTATTTTGTTGGAAAAAGATGTTCCTGGAGCATTTTTAGGGAAAAGATGTTTCTGATTGTAACGTTGATAAATTAAAACCATGGCTTGCGTGTCATGGACAGAAAAAAGGAGGGCAAAGGTCTGAATTAATAGAAAAAATTTCTTGGTGTATGAAAATGGGAGTTCCAGTTGACAGCAAAGTGGATGGCAGTAACTGGTATGATGCAAAACTATGCAGTATTTCACCATCAACTGTTAGCAATTTATCTTTACCCAAAATTAGTTGGCATATGTTTCCTTTTCATAATATTCCAACTATGTTTAACTATGGTAATGTTTATTATTACATAGTTGAATCAATTTCAAGATTACACCAAAAAAAAATTGCAACTCAAGATGGCTTCGAAGTTGAATTAAATGACACTATAACCGCAAAGCCTCTCAAGAAAGGTCGGGCATTATTAGATAGCTGTTTCATTCAAAATGTTCAAGAAAATATTTTTTAAACTTCTAATTCCATAAATGGAGTTGAATCTTCCGAAGTGGATACCTATTATTTGGGTGCACATATTCACCATTCAATAAAATATGATATACCGTTGGATGTTACTGTCATAATAAGCAATGTTAGTGGTCATGTAAAAACAGCAACATGCAACTGCATTGCAAACAGTCTTGGTAGATGTGCACACGTAACATGTTTACTTCTTATGCTTAGTGATTATGATTTGTTAAATGGGTACGTAGTTGAGATGACATCTACTTCCTTACCAAACACTAACCAAAATAACTCTGACGTTGACACAATAATTGACAAAATAACTCCGACCTTAACACAAATCTTGACAAACAAGGCAGCTGTGCGGAGAAACAACTTTGACTTTTAAAATTGAACAATTTACTTGCTTGAAGAAAGTTTACACAAAATATTCTCTAATTTAAATTGTTTTTCAAGAACAGCATTAGATAATGATTTGAAATATGTACAAAATCAAAAAAATATTATAACTAAATCTGATATGAGGACAATGAAGCAAGTTTTGAATTCCTTTGTCTTAAACAACTTTACAGATTGATCTGAATATATATGAAAACAAAATAAATAAAAAATAGAAAAACGATATTTTAAGCAATTGAAGGCTTACCTCCCATGGTGGTACTCTTTCTCTACACTTTTCATTTACAAGTAAACATATCGACAAAACATGGGCATCTGTTGCCTTCTCATTAAAATATTTCCATAAATAATTTTCCAAGTACTGACTAAATTCTAAAAACATAATTTTTCTAATTGGAAATCTTTTAGAAAGCAGCTCTTGATTGTAGATTGTGTCAATCATCTAAAAATAATTATCTTCATATAATTAATAAAAAATATACTGAAAATAAAACTAAAATTTTTGACTTAACGTATTCATTATTATATAAAACAAGATTTTATTATATTACTGAATTAACTTAAAACAATATCTTTTTTTAAATTAAATTTTTATTAACAATTTCATTAAAAACTTAAACTTTTTAATTTTTAAGATTTGTAGGGAGATAATAGTAAAGATTTGTAGGGAGATAAAAACAATTTTTACTATTATTACTAAGCTTCATATGCATCTCTATTTTAAGATATGTGATTTTTCTGAGAGACAAGCAATCAGAATTAAATACTGTTAATAAATTAGTTGCAGATGACTCTAACCATTTCTTCTCAGTAAGAAAAAGTTAACTAGTTTAAAAAGAAAGTTTGTTATACACACACATGTGTGTATGTGTGTGTATATGTGCAGCCTTCTCTGTTTAAAGAGCGCTTTTGCGTTCATGCAGTTTTGCGCTTGCCCTCACGCCTGCCAAAACTACAGCTGGTGCTATTTTTAACGCTTGTAAAAAAATTTCAAGCGTTTTTTTAAATTGCAACAAATCTTTTTTCTTAATCAAATTCTAAATAAAGAGGTACAAAAAACAATTATTTTTTAAAATCGCGCACATCAGACAAATAATTAAAGTCCGGCCAGCACTTTTTCGTGCGCTGGCTGTAAATTTCAAATGGAGAAGACTGTATGTGTGTGTATGTGTGTGTGTGCAATACAAAATTTTAACACTTGAATTAATGCAAAAAAAAATGTATTAAAAAAAAAAAAAATTTAACTCTCTTCTCCGTTATTGTCAATTAGCAGTAAGAGGTATAGAGTTATTACAAAATTGTATCTTTTGTATATTAGTTTGTAATTCCTATTTTTATAACATAAAATGTTATTTATGTAAATAATATCTCATAGTATTTTTGTTTGAAGGGGTTTAAAGTAGTTATAGTTATAATATACATCTCTTATAGTTATAATATACAGCTCAAGTTATAAATTAAAGCATAAGTTGCAGTTAAATAAGTGTCAGGCCTTGCGATAAAGCGTTGGGCGATGTGAATTCTACGTCGTTCAAGAGCGATTTAGCGTGTAGCTAGGGCTATTTGCGTCAAGCAAAATTTTTTTTGTTTGAGTATATTTAAAGATATTTTTGAGCGGAATTTTAATGAAGTAATTTACAAAGTATTTTAACATTTAATAAAGTATTTTAAAAACCGCACGCAGTTGATATAGAAGTTTGAATTACAAAAAAATTAAATATGCTCATTATTTACAAGTAGAATAAATTCAGATAAAAAAAAAAGTTTAAATCTTTTTAAGCTAACATTTTAATAAAATTATTCAGCAATAGTTGTCGATAAAATTGAACAACAATACTTTCTTTTAGTTTCAGATTTTTAACTTAAATAATTATTTTACGGGGGTTTGTGAGGTTTTAAAATTATTCCATAGATTTAAAAATATTTATTAACTGTTAGTCGTATTTAAAGTATTTAAGAGTAATTTAGAGGAAACAATTTAAAAATTGGTAAGCGCAAATAAAAAAAAATAAAAGGATTAATATTAAAACGTATTCTACTTGATTCAATAAAAAAGTACAGCTATTAAAATTTTTGTAAAAAGTAACTCGAAAAAAATTACTTTAATAATAACAATCCCTTTTTTGTTTAAAGTTACCGAAACTCAACGAAGCGTGCTCAAGAACAGCTGCTGAAAAATAGAACGTCAATAGTTTTTCGAATAATTTTTAATAATAATTTTTAAGAATAATTTTTTTGCTGAAATATGACTTAAATACCTATAAGATTTTATTCTAAGATTTTATTTTATTTTATTTTACCAAAAATAAAATTCCTTGTAAACATTAAAAATCTATTCAAAACGTTCGTTAAAGTTTTTTAGTAATACGAGTGATTGTGCTTATGAAAATTTATGAAAATAAATAAAAATAAATAAATATTATAAAAAATCGCTAGTAAAAATATTAGCTATTGCACAGTTTTTAATCGTACAATATTAAAATTTCCGGTTTATAACTCGCTGACTTTTTAAAAAGAAAAAATAATTATTTGAAAAACTTTAAATTACATATTTAAGAAAAAAAAATCAAATATTAGCATATTTTATAATTTTTTTTAAATGTTTAGTTAAAATGTTTTTTATTCGTTTAGTATAGACAAAACGAGTTAAACGTCGAGAAAATAAACAAATGTTTTTACATTTTAAAAAACGAAACATTCCAAAACATTTTTAAATAATAACATTTCTACATTAATGATTTAAAGTAGTTTAGCGGTAATTAAGTAAATTGGTGCAGTTAATGTCAATAAATATGAAAAGCAAATAAAAAGAATTTAATGACGTCAAAAATCACGTCGTGCTTATGCATCGCGCAGTTTTTATTCATCACAAGGCCTGTAGTGTAATGTAATTAATACTAATACTAAAAAAAATATTGTAATAACAATATTAGTTTTATTAACTGTTTTTAATTAGAATGATTCTTTAAAAATATTTAATTTTATTTTTATTGCATTTTAAATTGTTTTGTAAAAAGCTATATAAGTTATATATAAAACGATGTAAAAAGATGCTCTCTGATGCTCCAGTTCACTAAACCTAGTATCTCAGAAGTTTCAGTTCACTAAACCTCGTATCTCAGAAGTTTCAGTTCACTAAACCTCGTATCTCAGAAGTTTTCGAAGAGGCTCTAGAGACTTTTGGAAAATCTTCAACATTGAAAAAGATTTAACAGTCTATCAATCATTCATGAGACTAATCTTATTTCCTGTGCCAAGGCAGAACTATTTGCAAAAAAACTTTTCTAATTCAACTCTTGAATCTTATGCCAATTCTCATTCTTTCATTCTAATTAAACTGGTTAACCTAATGTTAGACATTCAAACCAATCCAGCTTCCATTGCTTAAGTCATATCTCAATTAAACTTTTCAACAGCTTGTGGTCCAGACAACATTGCTGACATAATTTACAAAATTGTTCTCCAGAACACTCTTTAATTCTCTCTAAACTATTTAATAGGTGGTTGACTGAGTCTAGTTTTCCTGCCTGCTGGAAAATAGCATCTGTTGTTCTAATTTAAAAAAACTCCATATAACATTCTGACCCCTCCAATAGTCATTGGACCAGTCTTTTTTCTGTTATTACAACTGACTTGCTAACTGCTGCAGCTGAAAGATTTTATTGTGCCTTAGATTAGTGATTTCGCCAGTTATCCGGTTTTGCGGTTAACCGGATTTTGTTTGAATATCAAATATCTATTTTCGAATAATAAAAACCGACTTAAAAATTTTACAAAAGTTTATAGAAAGTAACATCGTAATTTTGTCGATTATTGTTTAACAAATGTTAATTTATCAAAGATTAATTTAAATGTTAATTTAATCAGTTTTGTTTGATAATATATTCTTAAAACAATTTACAATAGAAACCTCAAAGATTTATTTATTACTTTTACAACTCAAGCAATAAATTTTTAAGAAAGTTTCTTCAGAATATTCTGGAACTCTAATTCGCTTACTCACCGTATTTTTTGAACCAATAGAATTTGTTTATTCATAGATTTGGCGGTATTTTAGTGTTTGCAAATATTCTTTATATTATCTTTATGCAACAAGTTGTTTTGAGAACATTCAAGTTTATGTTTCCATCTATGCTCGCATAACAATAAGTTTTTAAAATACATGCTAAAAAAATTTACTTCATGATATCTCATTTTTCTAAATCAAATGTTTTTATATGAAAGAATGATTTTAAAACATCCACTGATATTAAAACATTTAAACTATACTTGTACATTATTCCTACCTTTTTTAATTATATAATTAAAAAGGTATATTATATTATAATATTAAAAAAATATATATCTTTTTCCATGTTTTGTTATAAATATATAATATAGGACTGTATTCACTAAATGTCTTGAAAATGTACACTTTAACATTAATTTTTAAAAAATTAGTTTAAAACGCTACGTTCGTTGAAATTTAGAAGATCCTGTATTCAGAAAATGTCACTAATTTACCGAATAGTCGGTTAACCGCAAATTGATGAGAACTGTTATCTGGTTTTTGAAACGGATAACCGGCGAAATCACTACCTTAGATGGAGGTGGCTATTGCTCTTAATATATCTAAATCTTTCAACAAAATTTGTTATGCTGGTTTTTTCCAAAAGCTTATTTCATGTGATGTATCTGGGCAAATTTTGCAAATATTATCAAATCATAGAAAGTTTTAAATTGTGAACATTTTTAATAGTTAAATATTTCTGTAAAAATGTAATTTTTTGTCTCTTGAAAATAGTTTAAAGAGTAGAAAAATTTGATTGCTAACATTAAACTAGTGAAATAAAAACTAAATTATAAAAATAAATATATTTAATTCTGCTCAACATTTTGTTTATTTCAAAAAATATTGAAGAAAAGACTTGAAAAAAATTCAAATTTTATGTTTTCAATGTTTATAATTTTTTCAACAACCTTATTTATTAATTAGATTAATTCTATACTTTACTTTATCTAAAATGTGTTTTATGTTTTTAATGTTATTTTAAATTTAAATTTTATATTTTGTTTTGTTTTTGTTTTTTTCAACATCTTCACTTCCAACAAGGTTTTAAGCAACCACTATTAGAGTTGGAAGTTACCTGAAGAGAAAAGATAAAAATTATAGAACAAGATAACAATTGACAGACAACTTAAAAGATTGCAAATTATATGAATCAGTAAAGCAAGAAGAAAGCGAATTCCAAAGAACTGATGTTCAAAGGAAAAAACTAGACAATTAAGAGTTTTTACAGCACTTAGGAACAGTAACAGAAAAAAGGATGAGACTTAATTGAATGACGAGTAACACAAGAATGAATTTTAGTAGATGGCACAAGATCATGTAAAAACAATTAAAAGTATTATTGTAAAAGTATTAAATATTAATTAGTATTAAATAAAAACATTACATTATAAACTGCAACTTATGCTTTAAATTTTAACAGTAACTTTTTTAAGTATTATTTAAACATGAGAGATACTATGTTAAAAAATAGCAATTACAAACTAATGTACCAAAGATACGATTTTGTACAACGCAATTCCCTTACTGCTGAGGGGCAATTGGTTCAAAAATTAGATTTTTTCTTTGGGTTAATTCCTGCCCTGCAATTATTTAAAAAAAAGGGAGGGGGGATAAAATATGCTAGCATGGAACTAATATATTTCAAAAAAGAGTTAAAATTAAACCTGTCAAAAAAAACTTACATTATTAATTGGTAAAGCTGTTTCATAACGCTCTAAAAAATCTAAAAAAAAAAAATGATATTATATGCTTATGATATAACAAATTATGTAGTTTTCAAATCATAAACAATAGGTCTAAAAACTTGAGAAAAGAACTCAGTTATGATTAAACTCCTTTTTAAAGTTAACTTAAAAATAGCCTGGCTCTATTGACACTTAAAAATTAACTTAAAAATACACAGGTTCTATCAATACTTCTATCAACAGCAAAACTTCTTTAAGTAAAACACATCATAGGGTTAAGATTAGGGTCAGAGATCAGTCAGAGATCAGTCAGAGACTGATCTCTGACCCTAATCCTAACCCTAACCTATTAAGTGACCTGGGTTCCTGCTAATACTGAGACTTTTTGCAAACCCAGCACCAGCCCCAGAAAAATTATAATATTAAAAAAAATATATTTTATATATTCAGCCCTCAAAATTAGAGTTGGCATTTCCAATTTTAAAAGGATCCCAAAAGTACTGAGACAAGTTGTGCTAATTTTAAAGAGAATGATAAAAAACAAATGCTTGGGCAGAATTTTTTAAAAAAAAACAAAATAATAAATGTATACCAAAAACAAACTTTGTTGTTTTACTCAAAGCTCGCCATCTCCACAGTAACTGTTCTCTCAAAGCCTTTAAAATATATGCCGCAATCTATAGACTTTAATTTATTTGATCACTTTTAATTCCAAAGAGTTTTATTAAATGATGTCATTGTAGAATTTTGTTAAAAAATCTGAAAATTCTTTTTTTTTTTAATCAAATAATAGAACTTTTTTAGTTTATTATTATAGATTACTAAAGAATATTTTTAGTTACTTATTTTATATAAAAGTTTTTTTTCTTGATAAATTACTGAAGAATTTCTTTAGTTATTTTCTAAATTTCGAAAAGTTTGCATTTAAAATATAAAACATTTCAAATATTTTTAGCTTGTCTATTGCTATAATTTTTTTTTGTTCTATTTGTTATTTTTGTTATTAAATGATTATTATCCTTATTAAGATTCTGTTAAAAAATTATTTTGTATTATTTAACACTACTACAGGCCGCTGACAGTGGCTTTGATTTTTTCACATTTTAACCGCAAGCTGCTGGTAGCAGCTCTTAAGTATGCATCACAATTTATATTGTTTTGTACATAAGTTTTTACTCTAGACACATGATTTGTTTGTTCTTAAGGTTTAATTAATTCTCTACATAATCAAGATTAAATAAGAGCCATATTGCATTATAAAAATTTATCACTTGACAAAGTTAAAAAATCTTAAGTAATCCTGACTTAAAATAACTTCTTAAATTTAGTTGTAAAATAAAGCAGCGTTAACGCTGTAAAATTTAGAAAAAAACCTATACACTTGTAGAAGTGTATAGGTATTTAGCTAACAAATTAAAAACATCTTTTTGTCGCCTCGAAAAACATTCTCTTTTAATTTAATGAGTTTTGTTTTGGAAATGCTTTAAATACTATTTATAAAACAATGGTTTCAAACACTTTGCATTTCTTATTTATCAATGATGCGTGTTAAAAACCTATTTGATTAAATTCATTTGTTTAGCAGTCTATTGTTTTATAGTTTGTTATGCTTTTAAAAAGATTTACTATTCGAATTTTAATTAGTTGTCAATGTTTTACCTTCCAAATTTTATTCAAAAATTTGTGCGGTTGTGCGGTTGTAGCATAAAGATTTTTGTTAAAATTAAAGAGCAGCTCTTAATTTCAAGTCTCATCCTTTTTTTGAGACTGTTCTCTAAATGCTCCAAAAACTCTTATTCCTCTAGTTTTTTTCCTTGAACATCAGTTCTTTGGAATGTGCTTCCTTCTTACTTTCCTGATTCATATAATTTGCCATCTTTTAAGTCATCTGTCAATTGTTATCTTGCTCTACAATCTTCATCTTTTCTCTTCCAGTAACTTCCAACTCTAATTAGTGGTTGCTTGCAGCCTTGTTAGAAGCGAAGTTGTTTGAAAAAAAAAAAAAAAAAAAAAGATTGCAAAAAAGTGTAGCATTATTGAGTAAATTTTAAAATTGAAATCGTTTAATGAAAAACTTTTTCTTGTCAATTTTGATAGTTTTTTGATTAGGGGTTGTCCATAAAGCATGTACGCTCATAGGGGGGAGGGAGGAGGTCTTCAAAATGCGTACAAAAGCATAAGGGAGGGGGAGGGTTCAATTTAAAAGTACGTACATTGATTTTCTAATTTATTACAATTAGAAAACCAGCCAATCCATAGAAAAGTTAAAATTCTGACTAAAGATCCTAGTTTGCCAACATAAAAAGATGTTTGGTATGGGGAGTAGAGGGTATAGTTTCCCTCAATGCACACATATGCATGAAGCCCACCATTTTTTTCTTATGTTCCAGATAGGACGCTTTCACGCATTGTGCAAAGTTCCAACTTAAGTATGTTTATACCTATGCCAAATGAGGAGGGCTTGCAAAAAATTAAGAAGGCGGACCCTGGGAGCAATTAAGTCCTAAAAGGTGCACAAATTTTCTGGCCCCTACCCCTTTTTCCCTTAAACTAAGGGATACAAGTAGCCTATTTTCGGCACTGGGTTTTTAGTCTTTGTTTTCGATATTACTAATCTCACATAGGACTCATTTTTAACAGACTTACTAAATAGGGGTGCCTGAAAAAAATGTTTGCCTTAAAGTATTGTTTATTTTTATTTGATTCACCATTAAAACAAAAAAAGTACAGTGTAATTTGTACAGTATAATTCCGTTTTAAAATAACTTTTAAAATGGAATTTACATTATTTAACTTTTTACAAAAAGGAATTTCTAATATTTATTTAAATTAATATTCGAAAATATTAATTTAAATAAATTAAAAAGCAAAAAAAATTGTTACAAAAATTGATCTAGTAAAATTTTTAACTATAAAAAAACATATTTGTTTAAATGCAAAAGCTTTTTTTTTTTAATTTTATGTAAAAATATATAGCTTTTTTTAAACAAATTAATAAAAAAAAACATCCGGAAATTCTGGAAAAATAAAGTGAATTTCCAGAAATCCGGGAATTCCCGGAAAAAACTCATCTATGATAACAAGGTGATCAATGACTTTTTTGTATATTTATTTTATTTAAGAGTGTAATATAAAAATCTTAATTTTATTTGGTTCTTGTGCTCTATAAAAAAACATTCTTATGTTTAGCTTCCTATAAAATAAAGTAATACGATTGATAACAAACACTATTTTAAAAAACAAATAAAACAATTACAAATAATACTAATTCAAAAAAAAAAAATTTTACAATGACATTATTTAACTAAACTTTTTGGAATTAAACCCACTTGAATAAATTATAAAGTCTGTAGATTGTGGGGAATATTTTAAAGACTTTAAGAGAATTGCTACTGTGGAGACAGTAGCAATTCTCTCAAAGTAGAGTTTGCTTTTGTTGGTATACATTTTTTTACTGAAAAAAATTCTTCCTAAACATTTTTTTTATCATTCTCTTTAAAATAAACACAACTTGTCTCAGCACTCTGGGATCCCTTTAAAGTGTTTGAGGTCAAAAATAAAATTGCAGATCTTATTTCTATGTTTATGGTAACCCCTTTGTGTTAAACTTTTTTGCTAACCTGATGCCAACCTCAGTAAAAGGATGTGACTTGCTGAATGAGAAGTCAAGCAAGAATAAATTTTAGTTGATTAAACTACAGATGATAGCTCATTTGAGGAGTGACTATTTTAGAGATATTTTAGTAAATATTTATTCAAATATTTGTTGAAATAAGATATGTAACCTTACAACAATGGAAGAGTGGCTCAAGCTCGGCAGAGCATCCCTAACTACATTTATAATATAATTTTGTCTAAAAGTGCAAAGGTTATTATAAGAGGTGTTCAAAAAAACAAAATTTTTAAAATACGAATACACAAAAAGAGAAATTTGGAGCCAATATAAAAAAATACGATTACAAAAAAAAAAATCTAAAAATATTAATATGTGCTCAAGCAGCAAAATACCCTACAAATTGTTCCTAAATTATTTGACTTTAAGCGCAAGGTAAATCTCAATATTTTCAAAAAAAAAATTTTATGTGATCATAATGACAGTAAAGAACTCGCAGTTTATTTGGGGATACCACTTTTTTACGGCACTGTTGGAGGAAAGGGGTGATACTTGTGAATCCCCATCCTCCCCCCACCTCTCTCCTCTTTCTCCCCTAATTAAAATCGGTGCCGCAACAATGATTTTTAATCATCATTTTTTCAATTATCATTTTTAGTTTTATCCAAATATATGGAGTTGATTTAAAAGTATTTTTTTGAATATATGAATTTACTGGTGGGTCATTCCATGCCAAATGGACTGAAATTTTGGGATTCCAACATGGACCCCTCAGATTTTGATGAAACTTGGTGGATTAATTTAAATCAATGAGAAAAGCAATTCCTGAAAAATTCAGTTTAAAATAATTTATGGTTCATAAGATATCACCATTTGAAATTATTGATTTTTTCAAAAATTAAAACATCTTTAGCAAAAACATGTTTTGTTCATACTTTGAAGCTCTGTATTTTAAAAAAGAAAATTCAGAAAACTTTCTAGTTTTTTTTATTATATACAACTGTAGGCTTACTTTGTTAATACCTTGACAGTGAATTTTTTAATGTTACATTTTATCCATAATGGCTGCCTAAAAAACCTTAAAAATTGTTTGCAGATATAAAAAGTTGATTTTTGATGGGTCATTTATAAAATTAGCATCTTAAGAAGTGAAAAGACATATCTATTTAGTTTCTATATATGGGAGGCTTCCTAATATTTAACATTTGCTGATAACATGTGATTCAGTAAAAAATAATGGACTCCTAAAAAGTAACCTAGTAACCTAGTAACCTAGGATCAACACTGATTTTCATTTAAAAAAAATTTTTTACTGATTTAAAAGACTCTATTAAAGTGATTTCAGAAAAAAAATTAGTGGGTACTCATGGGAAAATGACAAAGTCAGAGCAATGAAGTTAGCACAAAATACATTAAAAACAGTAAAAATATAGGTATTAATATACTTTAGTTTTCATAATCTATTGCAATGCAAAAAATATATGTATAAAAGTATATCCAGGCTGGTCGGGAAGCGGGTGCGATCGCACTCGATAACTGACCACGGAAATAATATTTAGTTGTGAAAAACCAGCCAGATATTTTAATCATTTTGAGAACATTTAAATTTATGCATGTTTCCTTAATTAAGTTCATTATTTTAACGTAAATTTTGTTTACGGACATACATGGAAACAAACATAAACTCGAATGTTCTCAAACAATCTTTGTGCGGAAAAGTAAAAAAAAACACGAGAAACCCGCCAAATCTACGAACAACTAATTCTATTGGTTCAAAAAATACTAACCGAAATTTCTAATAATAAATTATTAATAATCATCAAAGTTAATACAAATAATTTTAACCACTAATCCATTTTCCTCAGTGTACCTGATAACTGATTACTTTCACACAAGAAAGAAAAGGTTTTAAGTTTTTAGAAATTGGTTTACTAACTTCAATTATTTTTGCTTCAGCCATTCTTACAAACTTGTTATACTTTAACTTAAAGTTACTTTTTTCTGTTTTAAATACTAATTATAAAAATTATAAAACCCACTCACTAAACATCATCAGCGTTATTATGAAGCAGTTCCGCTTCCTCCTCACATAGTAATTTAACATTTTTGGTTAATTTCTATTTAGCTAATTGAATTTCTACAGTAACTCAATGATTTAATTATTTCATTTATTCATCTTACTAAGAAAAATTGTTTTAAATGTGTTAAACTTTTCAAACTACGCAAATAATATAACAGTTATTAAAAAAACTTTTTTATTAATAAATAAATCACCTAGCGTTAGTTTTATTAGTTGAATTTTGTTGGACTTTTCAGGGCCGGGGATTGCATAATTTTGGCGGCTTGTTTTATGTGCCACAGCGTAAAAATGACTGAAAAAAATACCGAATGGTCCTCTTGACTATTTCGCAGCCCCTAACATTGTGAGTCCCGAGGCTATAGTCCTTCTACTCCCCCACCCACCCCCCACCTCTATCTCCTCAATCCAGCACTGTAAATAAGACATAAGTATATAAATAAAAACTATATACACTCTTTGATAAATCGGAGAACATTTTTTACCTTGTTAAACAATCATTAATAGTAAGATATTACTTTATATAAAAAATGTGACTTTGTTTTATAATAAAATTATAAAAAAAAAATATTTGCTCTAATCGTGTTTATTTTGCCTAAAATTTTTTCGCGTTAAAAGCTTTTTTTTTTAACTGTCTCTCATTGGTGCAGTTAATCTTTTTGCACTTTTTTGTTTGTTTTTGAAATGTTCTCAAAACAACTAAAAAATTTGGCCGGTTTTTCACAACTAAATATTATTTCCGTTGTCAATTATCGAGTGCGATTGCACCCGCTTCCCGACCAAGCCTGTATATCATAATCATTACTTGAAATAAGCTATAAACTAAGACTGAATTGAACTCAATTTTAGAATAGCCTTAGTTGCCTCCCCTCCCTCCAGTCCATTTACTTTTTAATATGTATATTTTTGCACAGAACCTTAATCTTAAAAGAAGTTGTTATTGAAGGTTTCACTAATTTTTTGTTATTGAAAGTATCACTAAGTCACACACACACACACACATATATATATATATATATATATATATATATATATATATATATATATATATATATATATATATATATATATATATATATATATATATATATATATATATATATATATATATATATATATATATATATATGTAAATAAACATATATTAATAAGTAAACACATTTATACATACACACATGTAGACTCAGGTTCATACAAATATGGAGCAGAAGGGTAAGGAGTAGAAGAAGAGTAACTGAATAGGTTTAAAATAAGGGAAAACTAAAAGCTGTTATATTTTAGAAAAATAGACAGAATTAGTTGAAGATATAATACTGTGTTAAAACTTTATTGAGTGTTTTTTGAAGGATAAATTTTTTGATATTGGCAATAAAAGCATTTCTAGTGATGTTTAGGAAATTCATTTTTATTGAAAGTGGCAGAGAATTTCAGGTGTGAATTGGTATTTAATAGATTGAATACTATATTTGCTAGTTTTCTTTGAAGGTAGAGCTAGATTATAACAAGATATCGATCTAAGTTTGTTATATCACTTGTGAATTTAAAATGGTTGTTGAAGGCAATAGCAATGGTATTATGAATGATATCCCACACAATAACACACTTTAACAAGTAGATGAGTCCATCTAACTTCAAAATATTTGATAAACTATACAATAAGTCTCGATTAAAATTGCTTGGCTGGAAATGTACTATTTGTATAGATTTATTTTGAAGTTATATAAGATTTTTAATTTAAGTAGATGAACTATATATAGTATACTTTTTTTCATTATAGAGTAAATTTTCAGCAAATTCGAATAAATATTTTCAAAAAATTTAATTTTAGCTTAATTTTTAGTTATTTTTAAATTTTAATATCACTTTGCATATTAGCAATACTAGTGTAATTTTTTATGCTTTAACATCAGAATACTTACCTCAAGTTTTCAGACCTATATTTTTGTATAATTCTGAATCAGTACAGTGTATTCTTAATTAATTATAAAAATAATTGGGGGTGGGGGGAGTCAATTAGCACCATAGAAATAAATGTGTCACATTTATCATCTTACACAGGTTATTGTGTGCATCATATATGTGTAAACTAATGCATTTTTTTAATTTTTAAATGCCTAATTTAATTCAGGTAGCAATCTTACTGTTTAATTGTGGCTGAATGATTTCCTAATCACATTCAAGGGTCAACAGCTTTATTAAATGATGCTTCAATTTTGTTTTATTTTTTATCAAATTAATCTGCTACTTATAAAGATAAAAGATTTTATTGGTAGTGATTTAATTTTGGTATCATGGGTACCACAATATTTCACTTATGCAATCAGAAATAAAATTAATTAATAAAACTTAATTCAATATATGTTACTTTTATATCTCAATTTAAAGTCAAGTAATTTTTAATTCAAAGTCTTTGTAGCTCAATAAAAAAATATTATAAGTCTTATAAGCTACAATAGTAAAAATATAAAGCAATAGACGTAAAAATATTAATTACACTTACGTTTCAATATATTACACTTTCATTAAAAAAAAAATACCAATATTAATGATTTTAGGAAAAACCTTAAAATAATAGCAGTAACTATATTCGTAATGTACGTTTGTATTTTAAAAACTATTTGTTAATTATCAAATTAAAAAGCATACTCACTTTCGATCACTTCATTTTGGTTTTGATAATAGACAGCGTGACTTTTTTCCACAGCCATTTTGTTTTTTCGATAATAAAAAATGTAATCAAAGGTTCGGTTTTCGTATAAATGTCCCCGCCGTTATTTTATAGTTCAAAGCTTCACCAACTAACAGTGATTTGAGTTCATTCTCAAAATCAAGAGGCCTGAGGTTCGATTTTAGCTCATGACCAGATAAACGACAAGGAAGGAGATGTAAACTTCCTAGTTAAATTGCTTTTCCGCGGTGCTTTGTGATAACACGCTTTGTTCTTCTTAGAACACCTTAACAACTAAAAAATAAGTCATTGTGGGTTGTTGTGAGGACTTTCCAAGTTAAGTAGAAACTTTAATTTATTAGCTTATTCTTTTGAGGCATAAGACGACGTTTTTTTGTATTTTTATCAACAATTATGATTTAGTATATTAAGTCGATCTTTGCTGCAATGATCTACTATTTTTTGGATAATACTAAAATAAACATTCATCAGTCGTTTATGAGATTTAACAAATCTTTCTCTTTTCAATATATTTATTGACATCTGATTCGCAAGTAAACAGGCTGCCTTGTAATTTTAAACAAGCTAAGATCTTGGACGCCTAATATTAAGCTTATGGTTCTTTTTTGGCTAATTCGCTCTGTCTCAGTTGTTTCTTTCACTGGTTCCAACTGTATATCATATTTTTAAATTTTTTAACAATGAGACATATTTCCCGAAATATTTCTAACTTACCTAAATCATGATTTTACAATGGTATAGATATTTAAGTATATTACCACAAGAAGTTTGGCATTTCCGAAACCTATTGCAACGAGTGCCACGCTGACGCTTAAGTTAGTTACAATATTATTTGTAACTATTTTATAAATTGCTAAAGCGTGATTATCAGTTATTCCATTATTGCATCTTTTTCCAAACACATAATACTGCCTTATTTTCTTTTTCCAAACACATAATACTGCCTTATTTTCTTTTTCCAAACACATAATACTGCCTTATTTTCTTTTTCCAAACACATAATACTGCCTCATTTTCTTTTTCCAAACACATAATACTGCCTTATTTTCTGTTAAAGAAATATAGCTAAATTTTGCTAAACTATTTGCAAGAATGATACAATCATCCAAGTTTTTTGATGCGTATATTCGAACTGCTTCTACGACTTCTGAGTAATCAATCTTATTTAATGATAATTTCCAAAAGAAAATTTATTGTTGACTTTATGAAAGACATGTACAAAAACAACCCTGAGTAAAGGTAACTTATATGATAAAATGTATGATAAAAATCGTCAATTACGTCAATTACGTTTATTAATTTTGATTTATTTGCTTACTAGTTTATTTATTTATTAGTTTGATACTTCTTGTTGCAATATTTTTCATTTTAATCTAAAAATTCAGTTTATAAAATGAATAGCAAAGTACTTTCTAAGTCAAAACAAATTTTTACACTAGATAAGACGCAACTTTCATTCAAAATTTAATTTGCATAAAGTTCTTACACGCAAGAATATGCTGCAAAAATTTTAGTTTTTAAGTTTTTTAATATTTTCAAAATGTTAAAAATTGAAGTATAAGGTTAACCACAAAAAAGTATTAAAAACTGATTTGTTTATTGAACTTTTCTAATTAAATTAATTGAGAATAATTATTTAAACAAACAAAAATAATTTTGGACCCCTTTCCCTAAACTTACGCATATTTAGTACTTTTTCATCAGAAGTAACTGTAAGTCATAACTGTAAACCATAAACGATCTGTAAAACCAGTCGTTTTTGTCGTATCAAAAAATAACTTCAATCAATAATAGGGTTTGCTTAAATACAACGAATTATATTTTATTTAAATTTTTTGACTAAGATGAAGCTTTGCATATGCATTTTTTTTTATTGATATTATTATTTTAATTTCTATCATGTTTTTTGATTTAAAAGAAAAATTGCTTTTTTATGTAAGTAGATTTGGTATTTTATTCAAATATTTGTCAAACATGGGACTGTTCAATATATATCTTTTTAATTAATATTGTGTTTTACTTCCTATTGTGTTTTTGTTTTAGATAACATTTACTTTTTATACAATCAAATTTATTAATATATTCCTATATTTTAAGTTTCATTAGAGAAATTATATTATAAAATAATACCTTTGTGTTTTTATTTGCATTCTTATATTTAATCAAATTAAATTTATCAAAAGTCTGCTTTAATTTTATTGAAAATTATATTTTTACTTTCTTCAAATGAAATATGTCTAACTTTGCCCCAGGTTTTAGAGAAAGTGAGACAGGGTAGTTGTTGCCATTTTGAATTTAATTATGTACCAATGCAACAACCTATCTCGACAAATATTAAAGAGATCATTAGACACATAATGTGTTAGTAGCCTGTAAAATTTCTTGTTGTGAAAATTGATTCCTCTCAAGTTATGAACATTCTTCCTGAAAGTGTCTTGCTTTGCTTCAGGTTGCCCTACATTATAAAATTTACTTGCTGTTACTATGCTGTTAAAATTTACTTGCTTATTACTATGCTGTTATTTTTGATATTTATGTGCAAAATTAAAATAATAAATTATAATTTTACAAGCATTAATGTTAGTTTTTTTTTGTTTTTTTGAGTGTCGGTTAAAAAGGAAGCGTGAACTTTCTATTAAATGCTCATCCGCGGTGCTCTGCGAAAAGACAAAAAAAACTTCTTAGGGTGCCTAAATTAGGGTGCCTAGACAACTTGAGAAGAGTGCTCAACGTATGGAGCTGATTATTGTTGTTTTATTGTACCAAACTAAGATACAAAAGTCTCTAAAACAACAATAATCAGCTCCATACGTTGAGCACTCTTCTCAAGTCGTCTACATAATGAAAAAAACTGACTTGAATTATTCAATCAAGAACATTCTGATTCCATCAATAAAGGACTACAAAATACAGTTACTTGATAAAACCGAAGCATTAATAAAAAGAATGAGATGGAAAGCTTTCTTTTTCATCAATAAAGATCAAAAAAGTAAGGAAAATTTTTATTATAACAATTACGGCATAAAAACATCAAATTACCCCAAGCAAATTTCCGACATGACTGCATTTGAAAACGATCTGATAGACCTAATAAAAAATATTAAATTCCGTAAAGTCTACAATAATTTCCAAAACAAATTAAAGAATGACATATCTACCATACGCAATAGCAAACTTACTTACACTTTTTCCGATAAAACATCCAATTTATATAATATATCTAAAGAAAATTACACCCATTTACTTACAAATGCTATCACCTCAACATACAAAAAATCGAATACAAAAATAAAAAATCAAATAAATAAAGAAGGTAAACAGATATTACAGAATCACGACGTTTTTAATAAAATTAATATTAACACACCTTCAAATTGCTTTATAAAATTAAAAGACCGTAAAGAAAACTTTACAAACAATCCAACTGTTCGTTTATTAAACCCCGCCAAAAACGAAATCGGCAGAATTAGTAAAGTTATACTTTCTAATATAAACTCTGAACTTGTCAATAAACTTCACCTCAATCAATGGAAAAAAACACAAGATACCACAAACTGGTTTAATTGCATCAGAAATAAACACCTTTATAAATTCCTTGTTTTTGACATTGTTGATTTTTACCCATCAATAACAGAAAAATTACTCAACAATGCTATCCATTTCGCTGAACAACATCTAAATATTGAACCTAACCATAAATCATTGATCTATCACGCAAGGAAGTCATTATTATATAACAATGATCAAGTTTGGATTAAAAAATCAGGCGGTTTATTCGATGTTTCAATGGGAGCATTTGACGGTGCTGAAGTTTGTGAACTCGTGGGAATTTATCTATTGTCTCAAGTTGCACAGGTTTATAATAAAAATGATTTCGGACTATACCGCGATGACGGCTTAGCAGTTTTTAAAAATATGACTGGCCCCCAAATGGAAAAAATTAAAAAACATCTTGTTAAAATATTTAAAAAAAATGAACTCAATATATCAATACAATGCAACATGAAAATTGTAAATTACCTCGACGTCACATTAAATCTAAATGACCATACTTTCCAACCATATTCTAAGCCCGGAAATTCTTTAAATTATATTCACACTGATTCAAACCACCCGCCAAATATTTTAAAACAGCTTCCGCATTCAACTGAGTTAAGATTGTCTGCAAATTCCTCAAGTGAAGAAATTTTCCAAAGATCTGCTCCTGCATACAATGACGCACTGTTAAAGTCCGGTTTTAATCATAAACTTTCATACCACCCTAATTTAAATTCACCTTATACAAAAAACCGTAAACGCAACATCATTTGGTTTAACCCACCTTTCAGCAAAAATGTAAGCACTAACATAGGAAAAAGCTTCTTAACTTTAGTCAACAAACACTTCCCAATAAATCACAAGTTCCACAAAATCTTCAACAGAAACTCCATAAAAGTAAGTTATAGCTGTATGCCGAACATGAAATCTATCCTAAATGCACACAATCGACAAATTATGAACAACAAAAAAGATTCACCTGAAACCAATTGCAACTGCCTTAATAAAAGCACCTGCTCTCTATCAAACCAATGCTTAACAAAAAACATTGTATACCAAGCTAAAATAAGTTCAACTAATCCTACTACCACTCCTGTCAACAAACTATACATCGGTATAAGCGAAACACCATTCAAAATTAGATATGCCAACCATATAAAATCTTTTACCATTCTAAAATACAAAAATGACACTGAACTATCAAAAGAATTTTGGAAACTGAAAGATGCAAATTTAAATCCAGTTATTAAATGGAAAATAATTAAGCAGTGCAATGCTAACAACCCAACCATGAAGTCTTGCAAACTGTGTATAAATGAAAAATATCAAATTCTGTTTTCCAAAAATAAAAATCTAATTAACAAAAAAAGTGAAATGATATCCAAGTGCAGGCATCGAAACAAGTTTCTTCTCGCCCACTTCGACACGGCCGATTAAACAATTTTCTAATTAAAAATTTTGTTTTGACGTCAGAACTCATTCTATTGCTTTGTTATTGTTTTTTCTGTTAATTTTTGTATTTTGTATTTTTTAACGGTTTTTCTTGTTTTAAAATAAAAAAATATGGCTGATGATTGCCGAAGGGCATGAAACTTCAAGTACCATCAAAAAGTTGTATTTTTTCAAATAATCAAACTCTATTATTATTATTATTATTGATCTATTTTGTAAACACTTACATTATATTGATCACTCTCAAACGAACAAGAAACTTTTGTATCTTAATTTGGTACAATAAAACAACAATATATATATATATATATATATATATATATATATATATATATATATATATATATATATATAAATATATATATATATATATATATATATATATATATATATATATATATATATATATATATATATATATATATATATATATATATGTATATATATTCATATATGATAAGTAACAAGTTTATCGACGTGTTAGGTATCACGATAACCTCAATTTATCAAACCGTTAAAAGTTTACGTTCAATAGTTTTATCCTACATTTTTGTTTATTGTTTACTGAATACCAATGATTACTCAATTCGGCAAACCGTAAAAAAGTTTACGTTTCAATGATTTTGTACAAGAAGTTTTATAAATAAGCAATAAATTTAAAAACTAATTTACGAACAAGTTTTCGAACAATGATGATTAAACTGTGTTGTTTTATTTGCTTGTGGCTGAAAATTTTTTGTGAAGAGCTCACTTTGAAAGCAGTTTTTTCCGAATCTGAAGATGCTATTTTAAGTAGAAACATAACTAAAAATGACGATATTCTTAGAAAATATTTTCTTACAGACAATAGAAGTAAGAAAAAATATTCTGTTAAATCTTTTTAATCTATTTTTTATTCATTTTAATAAAACTTTATTTAAAAACACAAAATTTTATAGGATAAAGTTAATAATAAAAAATCCATAGTTATCATAGCTTTTATCAACAAGTTCAAAGGTTTTGCAATCTATTTCAAAACCAGCTAACAGCCATTTGTCCAGATTAAATCCGGGCAACAGCATGAACTATTGATTTCTTTAAAATAATTATATACTAAGATATTGTCTAAAAAAAATTTTATGTATTGAAACTTAGTTGAGCATAAAAATCATAAATTTTCCGAAGAATGTTTTCAATAAGTCTATTTACTCACTGAGCAAAATTTTTGTAATTTTGCGACATATATCAACAATAACCAAGCAAATCAAGCATGCTTGGTCATATCGCTTCTAGCTGTAGAAAAATGTTTCTTAAACTTAAATATTATGTCGCTTCTAGCTGTGGAAAAATGTTTCTTAAACTTAAATATTATGTTGCTACTAGCTGTACAAAGATCTTTTAACTCAACCATATAATACAATTCATAATTTTTCTATTAGCTGCGCAAAGATGTTACTTGAAATCAGCCACATATCTATAACATTATTACGATTTGTGCAAAGATTTTATCTTTGAGTCAGCTACGCAATCATCACACCGCAACTAATTAATTAGGGTACAAGTATCAACTATTAAAGCTTTTTACTAAACCAGATTTTTACGAATTTCATCTCATATAAATATAATAAAAATTGATTGGCTACAGAAAATTTAAAACGTTTAACGCTGAAACGTTAAATACACGTTTGACGCTGAAACGTTAAATACACGTTTGACGCTGAAACGTTAAATACACGTTTGACGCTGAAACGTTAAATACACGTTTGACGCTGAAACGCTAAAGAATTAAAAATTAAAGAAATTCATGAAATTTCCTATAATTTTTTTACTTCAAAAATATATATAGAACTTTATGATATAACATTACATTACTATTCCGTTACATGACTTAATAAATAAGTCATAGAAAACGAGATTCAAATGATATATATGTTAAAATAATACTTTGTTTAAAATATAATGTATTTGATAAATTATGAAATAAAATATATAATCTATTTATATTGTAAAGCATGATGTAATTTCTAAAATAAAAATTTAATAATAAAATTGTGTTAATACAAGTAAATTTGTAGAAATAAAAAAAAGTCATCAGCAATCGTCGCATTATAAAATAATGAAAACTACCCAGTGGGCACGGAAGTAAAAAAGGACGTCTTTTAAACGTCTTATACACGTTTTAGACGTTTTCTGAACGTCTTTTGAACGTTTTGGACGTATTTTAAACGTTTAAAAGACGTCTTTTTTACTTCCGTGCCCACTGGGTAGGACAAATAATTTGAAAAGTAAATTTTTATATATAAACATTTTTAAATCTATTTTATAATAAGTATTAATTATATATAAAAATGTATAATATTATATAATATAATATGTAATGTATAACAAAATCATCGAAACGTAAACTTTTAATGGTTTGCCGAATTCAGTAATCATTGGTATTCTGTAAACAAAATGTAGGATAAAATTATTGAACATAAACTTTTAACGGTTCGTTAAATTGAAGTTATCGTGATAAATAACACGCCGATAAACTTGTTAGTTCTCATATATATATATATATATATATATATATATATATATATATATATATATATATATATATATATATATAGGTTTATAGATTTATAGATTTTATATATATATATATATATATATATATATATATATATATATATATATATATATATATATATATATGTATATATGTATATATATAAATAAATATATATAAATATATATATATATATATAGGTTTATAGATTTTTTATATATATATATATATATATATATATATATATATATATATATATATATATATATATATATATATAGGTTTATAGATTTTATATATATATATATATATATATATATATATATATATATATATATATATATATATAGGTTTATAGATTATATATATATATATATATATATATATATATATATATATATATATATATATATATATATAGGTTTATAGATTTTTTGGTGTTTGAGATAACTTCCAAACATGGAGCAAATTCCAAACATAAGTAAGTTTATATGTCAAATAATGAGACTTTGCAAAATATTGCAATGATTAGAGGCTGGGAACGAAAAAGCCCTTTGACTTCACACACCCCTCTTCTCCTAAATAAAAGCTCCTCCGTTTTTAAGGTATTTTAGGACTTACAGATTCTGGAAGAGGGGGGGGGGGGTAATGCAATAATGAGGGAATAATGGGGGTAATCCCCCTTCCCTTAAATCTAGGATCCGTCACTGATTATTATTATTGATTAACAATTAATTACAAAAACCAATAATTTATACAATTATATATGAATAAAATATATAGATAAATAATAATATATGTTTAATAATGAAACATAAATAACATAAACGACGTATAATTTATAATTATAAAGAATAAAATGAGTAAAACATTTTAATAATAAAATATTAAAAGTTAAGTTCTTACAATATAAAAAAGGCAGAAAGAATCTTTTATGCGACGATATATTTTATGGTTTTAAAACCCTTAAGTAGTTCAATTAACATCTCATGGTTTTTTTTTTAATTGTTCTCATACTCATTTAAAACTTTCTATATTATATATTATTATTATTATTATTATAGTTGTAGCCGTAAAATATACATACAATATATACATACAGCGAGCAGGGAAAACACCCTACTATAAACAACCAGTTTTATAAATATTTTTTCCGAATTTTATTCTCAATCAGTGATCTAATCTAATTTTAAAAGAAAGTAAAGTTTAGTAAAAGTTACTTGTTCGGGTAGTTCATTCCAGTATTTTGCTTCATATATATTATTAATTGTTTCAAATTGATGTATTAATTTAAAAATTGGAGAAGGTCGCATCGCCGAAACTCAAGTGATGGTAGATTTAGTCTTTTTAGTTATTCGTAATATTGGAGATTTCTCTTAAAGCCCATTTTGTTGCTTTACGTTGAACAGATTCCACCAAAGCTACGTCAGTTTTTAAATACGGGGCCCAAATAGACACTGCATATTCAAGGTGTGGTCTTATAAATACTTTATATATTTTGAAAGCCATTTTTTCATCAATGATGTTGAATGTATTTTTTAGCAAACCAAGAATTTGTAAAGATTTGAAAACAACTGATTGAATATGTGTACTCCACTTGAGGTTAGATGTAAAAATGACTCCTAAATCGCGCTCATTAGTAGAGCTTCTTAGGCTTTCATTTATACCTTGGTTATTTTGAAAAATATAACTATACATAGGATTGGTGGTACCATAATAGATAATGTAACCAAGTGTTTGACTAAGTGTAGACAATGAGGTACGGAATCAAAAGTTTTAGCAAATTCGAGGTAGATTACATCTAAAACTGGTGCGATGCTAGGGAAGACGAAATAATATCAAAAGTCTCTATTAGATTGGTTACACAAGACTTTTGATGAAGGAAGCCATGTTGATTTGTAGAGAGCAGATTGTTATTGTTGATGCGCTTCAAGATTTTATTCTTTACAACTTTTTCGAATATTTTACACGCAACCGACGTTAGTGAAATAGGTCGATAGTTTTTTTAACTAATTTTCAGACTACGAATGACTTTCTCTGGAAAAAAAACAACGCAAAATGCTTCAGGCGCAGGATGAAGCAAAACATTAAATAAAGGTTATTGAAATCAGTGATATGGAAAAGAATTTCAAAATTAAAATAAAGCATCATACTAAACACCAACACATGTGTTTTAAATGTTTAACACCAACACATAAGAGTGTTTTGAATGCTTAACACCAACTTATAAGAGTGTTTTGAATGTTTAATACCAACACATAAGAGTGTTTTGAATGCTTAACACCAACACATATGAGTGTTTGGAATAGTTAACAGCAAGTTGAAAACCTTCTTAGTTTAGAACAAAAAACTACATATATATTTATAATTACAAGCGCGAATGCAACATTTATTGATGTTTGAACTCCAACATCAAAAAATGCTGCATTCGCCCTGATGGGATGGGATGTCAGCATATGAGATAGAGTAATCCCTCGTAAAAGAAAAGACAAGCACGTACTATCTCTCTTTTGTGTTCTTTTTTTGTACTCTGCAAATTGTTACAGAAAAGGATCCTGCCTAATGAAAAAAAAAAAGCTTTATATCACGATTTCCATGAATTCCACAGTGAATGCTCTGAGTTATTTTTACATAGCTATAATGAAACTTTTACACTTTATCTTATTACTTGTCGATTGTTTATTCCTATTTTTATTAATAAAAACAAGATCAATCAACTCCCTGTTTGAATGCAAATATTAAAAAGGTATGGTTCTCCATTTTGTGCAAGTGTGCATCGGCTAAATCAAGAGTCGGGAAAGACATTTAACAAAATCTTTGCAAATGCTAAGAAAAAAATTAAAAGCTTAACTTGAGAATATGAAATGGATTTAGAGAGCAAAACTCGCATTCAAAGTTTTATTTTCATACGTAAATAAAAAACGCATTTAGAGCAATGAGGCGATTCTAAGAATAAAATAAGGGGGGGGGGGGGTGAGTCCTTAAAAA